AGGCCCGCAATCGCTAGCGAGACCGCCAGCACTCCGAGCATCGCCACGCACTCCTCCCCGGTCGTGATTGTGACCAAAGGGTAGCAGTAGCACCCGTCACAGCTCGGGGTGGGTATCTCCTGGCCCCGGCACTGCATGCAGAGCCCCACCACCATCACCACCGCACCTAGCAACCCCACCCAGATGAAACCATTCAGGACGTGAAGACCCGCGTCGGACCCCGCCGGGACGCCCATCAGGAGCTCCGTAAGCGGCACGTAGCCCTGTGCGTGTGGGCATTGTACAGCGGGGGTTGAGAGGGGAAGGTGGGGTAAGAGAAGGTGACGGCAGCCGACCTCTCGTCACGGGACTTACCAGCAGCCAAGCGCTAGCCATAAGCATAGCTGTGAAGATCAGGACGCTGGTGATGGGGTGGCCGAGAACATGAGCCCACCAGAGCCTTCGAAACTGGTACCTGGAAGCAAAAGAGACGAAGGAAAGCGCGATTGAGATACCTAAGCTTAGTTAAGTTTGTGGGAAGAGGGAATGATCTCTGTGTTTTGAAGATCCTGGTCCTAAGTAAATCCCTCACCTGTAGTGGCATATCTCGCAGCGGTAATATGCATGGGTTCCGGACTTCATCGTTCGCCATTTCAGCAGGCATTGTCGATGCACGTATTTGGTGCTGCCAGAGCATTTACAAGGACTAATGAGGGGATTGGATAGCGGATCGGACTCCTCGTCCATACATATCCGGCAAGTGTTCGTTGTGGGATGTGAGTTGCAGACCCTGTTTGTCCGAAACATCTCTATGCCTGAATGCTCGTCTCTGTCCTCCTTAGAAAGTAGTTGAGCTCCTTCAATTTCTGTAGGGCCTGACTGTGTGACTTGTGCGACAAAATCCGAGCTAAGCATAGTGGTAACGTAATAAGGATTCCCATGCTGCAAAGCTGCGTGTTATCTGTCAAGGGGACCTCCTAACATAGCAGGGCAGAGCTTCCTCGATTAGTCATTCTTTTTCGCCGGCTTCGGAGCCACAGGGCATCTGCAGACACAACCAGACTCGCTGCCGCAGCACCACCACACGCGTCCTGAAATTATGCCTGGGAGTTTTTGGTAACACCATGCGGATCTACACCGTAGCTGGGACCAAATACAAAAGAAAAATTCAGCAGCCTCCAAGACGGCGCCTATGATTTTCACCCACCACACGAGCCAGTGTTTCTTGTCCCAGGTGCCTGAAAGCATGCCCGCAGAATTGCTAAAATGGCGGGGGGCTTAATTAGGAGCTTTTGAGTAAAGGGGTTATGATCAGGGGATATATCTGGTAGTTATCTCCCCTGGTTACTATCGCAGCAGTTTCTTGCTAACTCAACATGTCAAAATGTGCTCGATCATCTCAAGCGTACCATAGCTGCGAATGCATCTCCTTCTCGGAAACGCCTCGCGCGCGCAAGAAGCCAGACAGGATTGCCAGGCGGGCGGGCAGTGGGGAAACTCTGCGCAGGCCGAACAAGCTCAACACCGCGAAGCACTCGTCCTCTCCCCCGTTGCCTCTGCCGTCCGTCGCGTGCGACCCGTCCCCTTCTCGCTCGAATAGCACACACGGCGGTGTAAGTCAGCTCTCTGAATCTGGCTGGCAGGAGGCTTGGAGGCCTTTTTGAAGTTAGCACTTAGCCGGGCTGCCCAAGGGCCCCTGCAGGGCGACCAATGGGTTCGCGCCGTCGATTATCACTTAGTATCTTTCCCCAGATGTTGCAAATGTAATTCTCTACTGATTTCCATTTCCCTCCTTAAAAATACTTGAAAATATAATGTGTCAATCGTATTGGCGCTGGTACTGTCCTCAGTCGGATTCGACTCGCAGCACAAAACGCGGCACAGTGGGGCCCAAAGCCAATGCGACTCCATGCAGCCGAGGGAGACACTGCCGGGGCCCTGGGGGACGAGAAGCCGCCTAAAAGGGGTTTAGTACGTAAGGGGGGTTTTCGTAGCCCGTCTATGCTGTACGGCGAAAGGTACGCCACAATATGCGTTTTTCCGTTTGCCCAACCACTGTACAGCTCAACACGCGCGAGAGATCTATTTCTCTCTCTTACCGCAAACAACCTCCACTGTGGGTGGGGGTCAGATTGTATGACACCGACACATGGCGACGTCATCATGCCGTACATGATATTGTCGTAACACTTATAACGCCAGGTGCAGGGTCTGCAATTTACACACAAAGCAAATGTGCCATGCAGGAAAGAATGCTTTGAATACCCAGAGGCTTATCTACAACACTTCAGAACGTACGACGAAGTCAATTTTGAGGACAAAAAGTGTGCTAACAGACAACTGACAACGGCCAACCGTCTCCCTCTTTATAATAATAATCCTTCCACCCAACGAGTTTCTGGGAAAAAAACCCAGACCTGGTGCCAACCATGATACCTTGAAACAGTATCCTTCCCAGTTGCCGTACCACTGCACCAACTCAGCGTACGACATCCGTCCACATCCCCCCCGACTGCGACAACAATGACCTATCAGCGGCCGCGGGAGGAGAAGTTTAAGCGCCCTAGAGTACATAAACACAAAACCCACGGATGGCTCCCCGCGTGTGCGTGTGTGTATGAGGGGTTGGGGTGTCGGGGCGGGGGGTTGTTGGGAGGAAAGGGGTTTGGAAGGGGAGCTATGTGCTCAGGTCCCCGCCTAAACCCCTCCGTCCGTGTGTGTGCGCGCGCGCGTGTGTGTGTGTCTCGGACGGACAACCCTTTATTGCGAGTCGCGGTGAATTTATCATCCAGCATTTTCGCGAAACCTAGCTTTTTCTCTCTCTCTCTCTCTCTCTCTCTACCCCTCTCTCCAGCGCTCTCGCTGAACTCTCTCAACCGATGATGGTGATCATCATCACCGTCATCATCATCATCAGTAACATCATCAGTAACATCATCATCAGTAACATCCACCGCAACCGCTCTCCCGCGGATCATATCTACCCAAAATTAAATCGGTTATGCCTTTTGCAATTTTGCTCCTTTGTCTTCCGTCTTTGTTTCTTCAGTTGCGATCGTCCTCCGAAGGAGCCTGAAGGGTTCAACATGAACAAACCGTCGAACCTGCACCGGCCGATACTGAGAAAAAAAATAGACGCCATGCAACACGTACGACGTGTCGTGTCGCATGTCGTGAAATGATCCCTTTTTCGTGCGAGTGGAGTGAAATTAGACGAGTTTGCTGTGATAGGTTGTTTCCGCCAGGCACAAGTCTTCTACCAGCCAGCTAACCAACCACTTAACTTTCGGCCTCCTTCAAAGCCAAACCTCAACTCTCATGCCAAGTAAACTACTGCCCAACCCAAGGGGCGGAACGTCCCTTTCTTCCGCTTTGCAGTTACAACATACTCACATAAAAACAACAACAACAACAGCAACAACAAAAGCACACACCAACAAGTTTACATTTTTTGTGTACATTCATCCGAGGACATACAACTGGGCTTGCTGGAACGCCCCGAAGCCCAAGAGGAAGGGAAAGTAGGAGCCATCTATCGGTTTCGACGCCAAGCAATACACCGGTAAACGCCACGTGGCGCGTGCCACTTAGAACCCCCCACTTGCCCGCTAACTAGGCTGTCCGCCCGCCAGCAGCCCCGGGGATCCATCCATCCGTCTGTCTGTCTGTCACACCGCGGAAGGTACCGGACCGGCCAGCGAACCAACCGCTAGCTGGTGCTGCCAGCTAGCCCCCGTCACAAAGCCCGGTTAGCTGTCGACTTCACTCGAGCCAGAAGACCTGACCTGCCCCCTCCTCCCTCTCCCTCTCCCTCCCCTTACCCCCTGCCCCTATCGCTACCACTACCCCTCACTCGATCGGCCCAAAAATCGTCTTCCGAAGAAATCTCTCTCTCTCTCTCAAGCTCCCCGCCCTCACTTACGAATGATTCGTCCATGGGCCCCCCGGCTTTAACGGACAAAACACCCGCACTTGCATGCGGAACTTGTAACTTATGATGAATGGTAGCTTTGATGGTTCAAAAGGGCCACTGGCTGCGGCGGGGAGGGGTGGAGGCGGCGGCGCCGGCAGCGGCAATATGCCGCCGCTTAAGCGGTTTCGCCCGGCATCGTCACTGGTACCTCCGCCACCTCCACCCGCTCGCAAAGATCGCAACAACAGACCATTACCAGCTGAACTCCCCGCCTCCGCCTCTTCGCTCAGCCCCGCAGCACCGGCGCCTCCGCCAGCATCACCAACACTCCCGCCAGTACGGACAAGTTATACGCCAGCGCCAGGCCGCCGTTCTGCCGCCGCGCCGCCGCCTGGAGCCGCGCCGTCACCTTGGCATGTCGACCCAGGATGCGGTCCCTCTCGCTTGGGTAGACGGGCTGTCCGGAGCCGTCGAAGAAGCGCCCCAGACGCGAGGGCGCCGTGGCGAGCCGCAAGAGCGCGGAGGTGGGGGTCAGGTAGCGCGTGTAGGTGCCGGAGACGTCCCGCGCCACCGCGGACTTAATCCTGGGGACCAGAAATGCGGCCACCGTCTCTGGGTGCTCGCACAGGATGTTGAAGGCCTGAAGGCGCGAAAGGCATGTGCGGCATGCGCGTCTGTTGTATGTGTACACGTGTTTTAGGAACTCAAAAGAGTCTTATGTCTTCTGTCGTGCGGCTCGCGCGCGCGCGTTAGGCACCGGCTGACCGCTATCGAAATGGTGAAAGGGTTGTGATGCATGTGGCAGGTGTGGTTTGGGGGCCCAATATCAGCCGGATATGTTCGTAGAGAGACCCAGGCGGTAGCAGCAGCAGCAGCAGCAGCAGCAGCAGCAGGGAAAAGTGGTTGAACATTTGCTACTTTTGTATTATTTTTCCTTCTCCCTCGCCCAGCCACCCCAAAAACACCCCCTTCTCCACAAAAGACACACGAACTCCTTCCCATTTTATAACACCCTTCTCAAACGCGGCAAAACTCCCCACCCCATCCCACCCCCCACACCACCCCAAAAACATAGACCCGCAACCCCACCTGTTTGTTGGCGGCCGTAGCCCCCTCCAACAACAGATCCGTCAGAATCATGCCCGGCGACACGGTATGCAGTCGTACAGCCGTACCCTCCAGCTCCCGTTGCAGCGTGGCTGTGAGGTGGGTTACACCTGCCTTGGTGGCGCCGTACGCCGCGTAGTTGGGCGTGGGGAAGCCGTCCGCACCCGCGCCGTCCACGTTGAAGACGTGGCCGCCCCCTGGCTGCCGACTGAACAAGCTGATGGCTTGCCGGGTGCTCAACAGCGTGCCGAGGAGGTTGGTGCGCACCACCTAGGCCCCACATATCACATATCACATCACATCACATATCACATCAGGACATCAGGGTGCGGGTTGGAGCGGGGGGCCAGGAGCGAAAGGGGGGAAGACTGCTGGGGAGATACGACGTGGTGTAATGCAAACAAGACCAAGACGAAGACCAATGCCGAAAAATGGACAGACATTGCAAATCATGTATTTAAGAACTGGGGCGACGTGTAAGTTGCGATGTGCGAAGTGGAGGAGGCTTGAGGGGAGAGATGAGGGAAAGGGAGGAGGGGAGGGATGCAAGGGGGCGCCGCCTCCTAAGGCACAGCATCATCATCATCATCATCAGCAGCAGCAGCAGCAGCAGCACTGCAAGGGCACAACAGGAATCCCCCTCTCACACACAAACACACACATATACACACACGCACCGTGTCAGGGGCCCCCAATACACGCACAAAACGTGTGCACTGACCCACCTGCTCAATTTGCTCGTCCCGCTGATCCAGCAGCACCTGGAAGGCGCCTGAGTAGCCGGCGTTGTTGACCCAGGCGTCCACCTGACCAAACGCCGCCACCGCCGCCACCTCCACCGCCGCTAGCCCCGCCGGGTCGCTGACATCACACGCCACACCCACCACCTGCAGTACGACACGGAGGAAAAAGGGGATTCAACATACGCCACAACACGGCATTACAAAAGCTCGAACACGAACACGAACACGTCCGCTCGTTCACCCACCTGCGGCAAGACGTCAACCTCGCCGTTCCTGACATCGCCGCCGTCTCCGCTGCCGCTACCTCCTGCAGACGCGGATGCGGCTGCCACCGCCGCCGCCGCCGCCACCGCCGCCGCCGCCGCCACCTCCTCCCGTAACTCCCTTACCGCCTGGTCGACTGCATCCTGGGTTCGGCTGGTGATGACCACTCGGTCCCCCGCGGCCAGGAACTCTCGCGCCAGGGCCTTACCTAGGCCCCGAGACCCCCCCGTAATGACCACCGTGATGGGCTGGCGGGGTGAGGGCCACACGCGGCGGTTGCAAAAGCGGTTGACGGCGGCGAAGAGGCCGCCCACAGCGGCACCGGACACCGCGGGCAGCGCGAAGTGGAGGCCTAGTCGTTTTGGTGAAGGGCCATGATGCGGCGGCGGCGGGGTGGGTGGGAGGGAGGGAAAGGGACGGAGTGGAGATGGGGGCGTGTACGGTGTTTATGTGTATGTATGTAAACATATGGGTGCGTGTACGGGTGTGGGGATGCATGTTCTATCGCGTGTCAAGTCCGGTAGGTGAACAAAGAATATGTTTCCAGGTACATACGCGCGCGCACACGCGGGGCGAGCTTCTGCCGTCATTTCATCGTGAATGCGTCTTTTCGTCATCATTCACGACTAAAAGCTTTATGACTAAATTTCAGTTAAATGAAAGGGGAGCTCGTGCGCATGGCGGCTTTGGCGTCAACAATGTTTCCTGCTTACTTTTGAGCCCACAGACCCCCCCAGCGCGGCCCTCCGCAACACAAGCACGCACGCACGCAAACAAGCACGCACGCAAACAAGCACGCACGCACGCTGCCTCCCGCGACCTCTCACCCAGCAAGGAGGACACGGCGCCCCAAATGTAGGCGGGCAGGAAGACAGTACCAAGTGGTCGCTCTAAGCCGCGCAGATGACTGTGATTGCCGCGCAAAATATGATGCAGCTGCCGGATTTTGGGATGAGCTTGGAAAAGCTCCGGACGCGGTCCTCGCAGGAGCTGCCTTATCAGGGTCCGGCCAGAAGTTGACGGCGCATCCATGTCTTCGTCCGTGGCGCTGCAGCAGGGCGTAGTGCGCCCAGGAACAGCAGGCTTACAGCCATGGCCTATTCGTAAGTTGGTTGAACGTAAGGGAAGGTGCGCTGAATAGGTGCGGCGATTGATGTGCGGGCTGTCCACACGAGGTTGCATAGTGATGGATAGCAGAGTAGGGTTTGTTTGAAAAATGCAGTTGTGGCGTTGGGAGCTGACCCAAGAGAATTTAGATGTTTCTCTGGTCGCTGAAGCGTTGCTGAGCGCGGAAGTGGGGGTCACAAAGTTGGCGCCCTAACGCGCGGTCGTAGAACTTCTTGCGGTAACCTGAGCACACATTCCAGCGATTGCAGAAAATAATAGAAATGCTCAGTGCACAATCCTGTACTTAACGTGATTAGGATTGGCCTGGGCATGTAACGCAAGAGTGCGTCACGCAGGATGCGTCACAACCAGTCAAGCTAAGTCCGTATTCTAACTGCTAACGCCCAATGGCCAGGTTTGAAGCGAAACTCCGCAAAACGTTTCTATGGATGGTATCAATATCAAACTGTAATCAATATCAATGCCACGTGAATCCTGAAGAAGATATGTAGAAGTTCAAGCGACACGTACCCTTTGGATACGTCAGCAATTGTAAACATGACCATTAGCTGCTCTAGGAAACGAGACAAAATTAATCCACTTAAGTGGATAGCACGTTACGGATTGTCGGCTTCCCGGAGAAGGTGACACCTACTGAAAGCTCTTTGCTCTCCTGATAGCGAGGATGGTGTTTAAATAATATCTTTCGGTTGTACTTGCATAAACTCATGGAAACAAGACGGCTGGAAACGCAACCTCGGCCGTTTCGAGGGTTTCAAACCTTTAATAATACAAAATGTAATGGAAACGGTCCATGGGCATTTTGTAAATAAACTTTACTCCAGTGTAATGTTTTAGCAATCGCTTGTGGACCAGGACCTTATCCACACTCGGAAAGAGTTATCGTTGTCCGCTACTGCGTTGCGGCGACGGGTACGGGACTGTCAACTGCCGTAAGCCGTGTAACTGAACTTGGGTGTTACTACCTATCAATTTGTTGGCGGTGGACCCGTCGCCTCCAACTCGCACTCCGCGATGTCGTGTCCCGTTGCCTAGTACTAACGGCACAGCCGATCCCCGGCATGGCAGGGTATAATTTCGCTGACCTGTGAGCAACACAAGCGCACACAACAGCCGTGCCCCTCTGACCTTCCAGCGGGACAACAACGCAAAAAACGTGTCAAAAAGACCCTACAAAGCTGTTTTTCAAAAACAAGCAAGTCAACCGTCTGGGACATGCAGCCGCACCTGGTTCGGCTTCACAGTCCAGTTTCTACCAGGCGCGCACACCCGTACCGGAAGACGCTTTCTTTATACCAGGACAAAATGTCGTACCTGTACGACCATGCGCCACAATTCCATTCTGCACACCTAACCTGCTCACTCCAAACTGGGCCGGACATGCTGCCGTGCAAACAAACGCAGTTTTTGCAAACGCTTCGAACCTCTTTTCAAGTGCTTCTCCTAGCACGCTAGCGAGAGAACAGTCCTCCGTGCCCACGCACAACAAAACACCAAACTCAGGCCCCCACCACCGTGCGACACCCCACTCATCGTAATCATGCACACATATATATATCGCGGCCCCCAGCCCTGCGTCCCTAGCTCCCACCACCCCCAACCCACATCAGTCGAATGTGGACCAACCCGAGCATGCACACACCCCTTCTGGCCCAAGTTCCCCTTCCTAGGGCAGCAGGCACAGACACTCCACTACAGGACTGCAGCCAGCACCCGCGGGCCCACAGGTCCGCCATCAGCCGGCCATGCACGTGCTAATATTCGCGATCATCATCACCATATCACCATCACCATCATCACCACCTCCACCATTGCCACCATCGCACACCCATACAGCCCATCACCATACGGCCCACCATTCCTTGACTGGGCCCAGCGTGCAACCCCACCCCACCCCACACCTCAGCACGGCATGGCCAATCAAAAGCTCCCTTGCGAATATCCGCGGGCGGACCCATTCTTAAGCCGAGCAAAGACATTAGTGCCCAAGTAGCAGACGACTACACAACAACCCTAAACTCCCGCTCTGTACAAGTCGCTGGCTGCTTCCTTAACCACTGCTACCACCGCCGCGGGTACGGAGGAGGCTGACACCGCCCAGCCATTTGCGTTCTTAGGTGGGAAGGAAGCAGGGCCCCAGCACCAGCCCCAGCCCCAGCCCCAGCCCGAAGAGTCATGTGACCCAGATCACTTACCGACGTACATACTGTTTTTAATCGCACAGCTAACAGCCCGTAACACCCTCGGCAAGCACACACACATAAACATACATACATACATACATACATACATACATACATACATACATACATACATACATACATACATACATACATACATACATACATACATACATACATACATACATACATATAGTTTGAACCGCCGCCCGGGCCTGGAGGCGCACTTCGTGGGGATCGCTACATGCAGGAAACTGCAAACGGTGGGCGACCTAGTGCGGGTCTGGGACCTAGTGGTGCATACTCGAGTGGCCTCCCTCCCCAGGTCGACCTGGCCCGAATGGGTCAGGACACACCTCGACCCATCAACCCCAGCACCCACGCGGGACAGGTCAGCGACCCTGGCAGCCCTTAAGACGCTACATGGCGCTATCAACCCGGCCTGGCTCGAAGCTGCAAGAGCAGTGGAAACCCAACAGCAACAGCAACCCCAGCCGCAGGCACAGCTGCAGCCACAGCTGCAGCCACAGCCGCAGCCGCAGCCACAGCCGCAGCCACAGCCGCAGCCGCAGCCACAGCCGCAGCCACAGCCGCAGCCACAGCCGCAGCCACAGCCGCAGCCACAGCCGCAGCCACAGCCGCAGCTACAGCCGCAGCCTCAGCCGCAGCCACAGCCGCAGGTACAGCCACA